GGAGCATTACTATACAAGTTAACTGGCAAGGTAACAATAAACCCGGAGGTGGCACCCTTGTATATAAAATCTTGGTGAAGTGTGGGCAAAGCCCAACTTTATCAATGAAGCTACTCGACTGTTAACAAAAAACACACAGAAGATATAACAAAACTTTAGTTTTTCCAAGCTGCACTCTTTTACTTGGTTTAGTAGTTCTCCTCTTTACTTATTCTCGCCTCCTTATCAGTCTTCCAAATTTTTTCGAAAAAGTGGGGGATTTGGCTTACCCCCTCCAAAAGATCGACATTGTTTACTTTCTAAATTCGGACAACCTAATGAATTGCAACCACATGTTTTATGGATACGGCATGTTAGGATCAGCCCCCAGCACAGAACCCTAATAATAGCAGCAGGTGGCTTAAGATACGGGTCTACAGATGGCGGCAGCATCTGGCTTGAGATACAAATTAGAATGGGCATGACGTAGTTATTTGAAGTTGGTCGGAAGGTCGGAAAGAAAAATTGAACATTAAAGCGAAGCTTTACAATAGAGATATACAAATGTTGCATTTGTTATATAATTTTTATACTCACCTGGCACAGGTTATAATAATGTATTTTCTTCTTCTTTTTCTTTCTTTGGTTGCGTCCATCAGGACTATCCTATTCTTTTTTTTGCTTTTTTTATCTTTCTCCTATTATGTTAGAATTCTGTTTAGGATTTATTTTTTTTAGTTATATCTTTTTTTTCTTTTCTCTGTTTTTTCTCTTTCTTTTCCTAAATATAGTTTTTTTCTTTTATAAATGTGACATATTTGTTTTTTCTTATAGAAAAATAAGAAATTAACTATTTTGCCCAGAAAAAGTTTTAAAGAAAGAATAGGTAGTCTTGATAGGCCAGCAAAAACCTTCCAGTGAAGTTTTATTTTCTTCAAGTACAGGAGTAAATATTATAGAAGAAAATTCTGCTTATAGCAGATCGCACATGGGTAATTTGAACTTTGGTCACAAAGAGCCGGGTGAGCTAATACTTGTAATTTAGGTATCGTAAAGACTTGATCTTAGAGTCTCATTTTTTGAAAATTTGTAATATTTTTCAGTATAATATTTTAGGCCTAATAAAGTAGAGGCAAGATTGCCAAATCTTCAAAAAAAAAAAAAAAGTATGGTTCTATCATAATAGAAACAAAATGAAAAAAGCAGAAAAAAAGGCATAGGCATCCTAATGAACCACCTTAAAAAAAAACAACCAAAAGAAACAAAAAGAAGAAAAATACATTATTATAACCTGTACCAGGTATAAAGGTAAAAAATTATATACCATATCTACCGATTTGATTTTTAGGGTCATAATTTTAATAAAAAACGACACTGATTTTAATATAGCCTGATCAAAACAATGCCCGCAAATTAAGATCAAATCAACTAACGCACATCATTTTACTATATACTTTTTGCGTCTAACCAATCGTTTATGGGGTCAACCAATCCTTCAAACTATAGGTATGTTCTATATAGTTGAAATGCGCTTTTAAAGAAATCTTTAAAACTAATTTAGTATATAAAACTTATATATTTTTATTATTGTAGTTTCTAAAATTTAAAATGTCTATTGCAAGTATTTTAATTCGATTTCGTTGTACAATCTGCAATAGTAGAAAAACTTTCAAGTCAAAAGCTGGTTTACAATAACATAAAAATCTAAAACATAGTAATTATAAAGAAATTTTTGCCCATATTTTGCTGGTCCCAGAATATGAACTACACTATATTAAAAATACAATAGTAAAGAAATTACAAAAGCGGTTAAAAAATCATTATACAAAGACTGGAAAACAAGTTTTTTCAGTTCATTGTAGTGAAAATAGTTTTGTTGGCCTTTTTAGTCAATATTTAACTCGATATTCTGTTTGTGGTGGCTGGTATCAATGTTTATTTGACAGAGAAGAAGTGATTGATCAACTAGCTAAAATATTCGGTAATAGTAAATAGGCAAAAAGAAATTACAGAAATAGGCAATTATCATGGATCAAATTGTATGAGAATGAGCCAGAAAAAATTAAAGAAATAGATCTAACTATATCAGAATCAAAGTTTAAACAAAAAAAAAAAAATTTTAAAAAGTGGATTATTAATTGAATGGTAAATGAAAGGATTTAGTGATAAGGCGAATTATCACTATGAAAGTAGAGGAGCAACATTTAGGTTCATAGTTGACCAAGGTCAGTTTTAAAATAGTTTTTTGTTTTTGTACTCTCATTACTATATTAAGATTATAGGGTATGCGCTGAGCTCTTTGTATATAAATAAATTTAAACTATGTATACTCTTAATTTTATTAGTTTTTAGTTGTGTAATATGCTTTAGAATATTTAGTAAACCTTTATTTTTTTATAACTAAAACATAAATTATTTCAGTAAAAAGATAAATCGTCTCAAGGCAAGAACCATATAGTCGAAATGGAAATTGCGAATAGATCTGTAAGTTTATAGTGAATGGTTTGTTTTTTTATGATGGTTCATTATTCTTGTGTATTGAGTTGATGTTACATACTGATGCCTTTAACAAAAGTGTAAAGTGTAAAATGACAGGATGAATTCGTAAATAATACAAGGATTGATAGCGTGCCAAGAGAAATCCTTGAGGTAATTAGTTCATTTTATTGATTTTGTCGACTTATAGTACTATAAAAATAATTTCTTATAATCTTAGATTCTTTATGATAATATAACTTTTGTTCAACTTATATACTGTATGCCGATGATGATATGGGCGTCAATAGACAAACTATGCTTACATCTCCATCAAAAAATAGACAATCTAGAATATTTGGTTCTTTAAAGAAGCGCAGAAAATCTTCATTGATAAGGAATGATCCGTATTTTGTATTTATATTTGCCAATATATAATGATTCAAATAAGCATATATATTGATGTTTGCTCCAAATTACAAAAAAATTCTTGGTAGATTGCTTAATACTCAACAATAGTCAAATCTTCACTAACCTATAATTTTGTGACAGTACTTGAGTGAAGAGCATCTTATAAGCTTTATTTTGATATACCCAATTCAATATTAGATTTTATATTATACTAATATTCAGTTAGTTCTTTTAGAAATTGTAAGTTTGATTAGTTCAATATTTATATAATCTATTCTAGAGTAGTCATTGGTCCAAGTGTAATAGCGATAAAATTCTGCACTTAGGTTTGACATATTGGCTCTTTTAAATGCTGTTTTGTATATTTAATGTTTATTAAATTGTCATTTGATTATTTTAACAGATGGAATATTGTGCGATATTTTGATAGATCTAATTTTGTGATACTTATTTGATAGATCTGATCTTGTGCAATACTTATTCGAATTCATCAATGTGAGAGTATTACAATTGGTTGACATTTTTACACACCGACTTTTTTGAAACTTTTAATTAAAAATAAAAAAAAATTCATCTATTAGATGATAAAATATAAATTTAAAGTAGAAATTCTAGCTTATTAGTCAGTAAAATCTAAGCTGACTATAAATTAATTAATATCTAACCTAAATACTATTTCGAAGCATCAATATTAATCTATTTTGATAATAGCTTTTTATAATGCATTCATATTTTGATGTAGTTTGGCAAAAAAAATAATTCTCATTTTTATGCTCTAATAGTTTAAAAATACATAATCGATTATAGCCGCATAGATTTAAAATAGTGACAGACTTGAACTAATTAAAAGCTGCTCCTCCAAATATAGATAAATATTAATACTTATCATTATAAAATTTTGATAACAAAAAAAAAGTATTTACCCAATACATGCCACAGATAAAATTAGATCGATTCAATTGTCCTTTGGATAGTGTTAAAAATAATTTTAACTATAATTTAGCTTTAATTCTAAATCGTGATCCTGTTATATTTGGTAATGTCATTATCTTGTATAACTCAAAAAAACTACACCAGAGTTAGCGAAGTTGAATAAAATCATCAAGATTTCTTTGTGATTTACTATTGCTATAAAAAATTTACTACAGAACTTACCAACTATTGGATAACAAATTTCTTAAACCTGCAATTGATTTATTATACCTTTTTTATCATATAATTAATTTCTTCTTGATACCTTAATGCTGTTATATTGTCGGTTCAATTTCTAACAATCTAGTTAAATTATTAGGTGTCACATTCTCTTGATAACTTAATTCAAATGCATTATTGATATATTCTTCAACAATTTAGTTAATTCATTTCACATCAACCCATAGTAAAATAAACTTTTTCTTGGCATTCCAATACTAATGTATTATTTGATCTTTGCTAATATCTTCATTAGTCATTGCTATTAATTGAATATAAATATATAGATAGGTTTAAACTTTAAAGAAACCAAAAACGATTAAATTTTTTAGAAAAATTTACCAGAATATTTGGCCAAAATTCACTCTCGAAGACCAAGCATCGATATAAATCTAACGCAAAGATATATAGTATTATGTCTTTGACTATACTGATGATACATAATTCTTTAAAATATAAAGATGACCTAATTCGCTTTGTAAAGTACAGAGTTTAACGTTAATTTCTAAAACATTTTGCTAGGCTGATTCAATTTTTAGTAAAATATATATACCATCTTGTTTTCGAAGTTTGAATAGTATACAATGTCACTATAGTAGCCGTACCCTCATGATTCATTTTCTGTCTTAAAAATATGGTATTAATGATAAAACAAATACCGGGCATGAGTATATTATTTATATAAAGTCTGAATCACCTATTTCTGTGGTTGCCAAAAATAGTTGGTTAATAGGAATTTTTTCATTTATAAGACAAGAAATCACAGAAAATAAACTACCAAGTTCATATTAGAAAAATTTATACACTTAGTGCGGTATACATAATGTCATTTCTTAATTTTATTGATGTCAACTAGCTGACTCTTGTGTAATTGTGGTAATTATGACTTAAACGAATCAGTTGACTAAAAAAAAAATTATAAGCGAATATTTCATAGCAAAGTATTCATACGATAGTGTAATCGCAATTAATTATTTTATTTATTTCTACGTTTATACATTCACATATGTAATAAGTGAAAATAAACCGTCAAAGAATTCATTAGATATGAAAAACTAATTTTCTAATCTATATGATTTACTTTTTTTAAAGTAGCTCATACCTCAACAAGTTGAAAAAACAATTCTCAATTTTCATGTTCCAATATTTCGAGAATGCATGATCTTCTATGTTTTTTGTGATCACTATCTTTAAGCATAAACTAAAAATAGCGACAAACTTGAAGATGATTCTTTTTTTCAATGGCTGAACAATTGAAAGCACCTATTCCAAATTTATGATGAATATCAATTAATTCATGGACGTGGCATGTTAATACATGCATATAAGGGGTAGTATCAGCTACCTTTTTGTTATATATAAATAAATATTAATACTTATCGCTATATATAAATTATGTAAAACAAAAAATAAATTTATTGTATAGGTCTTATGTAACAATCTGTGCTTTTGTTATTGCACAGGATTGTACATCAAACACATGCAATAACTACGTATAATATATTTACCCGATACATGCCACAACTAAAATTGGATCAATTTGGTTGTCCCCTGGATAGTATTAAAAATAACTTTAACCATAATTTGGCTTTGATTCTAAATTGTGATCTTGCTATATTTGGTAATGTCATCATATTGTATAAATCAAGAAAACCGGACCACAGTTGACGAAGTTGAATAGCACGTTCTTGAGAAAAATCTCTTGAAACAAATTTAGTAAAATCAAAATTTTTCAAAATATTTAGTTTATCAGGGTCCATTAAAGACGTATACTTTAAACTTTGTGTCAGTTAATCTATTTAAAAATGAAAACTAACTCCCAATCTTTTAATTTCAGTTAAAATTAAATTCTGAGAATTTTCATTTAATTCACCACGTTGAAGATCTGATAAAAATAGCTTCCAAAGTCGATCACTTATTCTTAACATAACGTGTAAACTATCGTATACCCAATGTTTAATTGGAATCATATTAAAAAGAGGGGGTCGAATGTGCCCATTAAGTGTAGAGTAAGATTCCTTTATCTTTTCCATATCCTTAGAAATTATACTATATTCAGTAGTATTAGTTAAATTTTCCTTGTTACAATGACACCACGGGCAAAAATATTTTGAATTTGCAGTGTTTATTCCTAAGTATATGGCTAGAAATTTCCAGTCTGAACTAAAGTATAATTTGACATTCCAATGTCGTCCTCCAATCTCATAAAATCTGTGTTCACTTAAAAATTACAAATCTGAAATTAAAGGAGCAAGTGCATTTTGAAGTGTATAATAATTTTCTGTACCAGGAAATAGAATTAACGTATAATGTGATTCAGGTTTATGCAATTTATTCAAATTATTCAAAAGTGCAACAGTTAACATGACATGCTTTACTTTTTTGCCAACATTTCGGCCATCTCTAGATATACGTAAGTGTAAAGTAGAGCAAGGTTTTAAAACCTTTTTTTGAACATACAATGGAATTATATAATTAAGTATATCAGTAATTCGTCGGTGCCCACCTTTTCTGATAGACGTAATGACAATAGAAACTATGGTTGGATTAGTAATATCAGCCTCTTCAGTAATTGGCTCAAAAATGGTTGGTTGGTCAATATCAACTAAACTAATAGGAATTTTTTCATTTACTTTGTGTATGATTTCTTGTCTCATATTATAAATTGCTCCAGCTCGGATTAGTGATTCATCAAGTCTAGCCAAAGATCTATATGCCTCTTGAGAAATTTGGCCACGATCAATTGACTTTACAATAGCTTGGATTTGTAGTTCAACTAATTGCTTATCAATCTTTCCATAATTGATATTATATGTACAATTATTAATTTCAAATTTGGCCTGTTTAAGAACAATGCTATCATTTGGATGAAAAAAATTCTCCTTTTCTTCTTCTATGAA